GACTTCTCATGATGGACAAGCCAAAATTACATTGATTTGTCTGGAGGATACCCTTAGAACTGATGCCGACGAGAGCACCCTCAAGAGTCACAATTGTGGACTCGGTGAATTCTTTCGCATTATCAATGGAAAAATTGAGAAAACGAATTTTATAAAAACCGAGGTTTTTGAAAATGTTGCATATGTGGGTACTGAATTCGTTGAACACAATTTTAAATTATAATTTAGGTTCCCAATCTACGTGTGAAGCTGGAACGCATAAATGGAACTCCATTCTTTGTATCTGCACTTCTTCCGAAAGCAATGTGTCGTGACCTGAATCTGCCAAATGGAAACTACACTGTTACCATGAATTCGTAAGTTTACTCTCACCCCAGTATTTTTCTATTCATCAAACTTTCAGATTGTTGGCCCCTGAACAACTTCCATTAGGGGAGTTAGTTCATTTCGAGGCAACCAATGTGAGAAGCTTAGACGCCCCGAATCTCAATGATTTCCCGCTGATTGATCTAGCGATTCATAAAAATTTGGGAGATTTGATTGGAGAATTGCCAGCTGTCCCTGTTCTTCCGGCGCCATTCGGAGGAGCAAAATCGCGACCGGTCTCCAGAGCATCAACAGCTGCGTCGGGTGATGATGAACTAGTGAAAGGTGTTGGCTTTCAGAAGAAGAAATACCCAAACAAGAAACCCAAAAATAATCAAGGGGTCGTTGGAAAAGGGTTCCCGGTGAAAAAGGAAGAGAACCAAGAGAAAAAGCCGATTGTGGGAGCAGGATTCGAAGTTCCAAAGAAAGAAGGAAATGTTATTGTTGGAGAAGGATTTGTTGCGAATGTAAAATCTCAAGTTCTGAGAGGAGTTGTTCTGACCATCACTCAGAATCCGAAAAATGGAGTGAACACTCATTTCTTGTGGATCTTGGATAGACAAGCGTAAGTTGGATGGTAATCCAGAAACTTTAAAAATTTCACCAATTTTCAGAGAAGGACGATTTGTCACTAAAGAATATAAGCTTGCACCAGGACACTTCTTTGAGGGGACTTTTACGCAAAGTGTAGGTTTTCTTCACTTTGAAAAAGTTTCGGAAAAGTATACTTTCAGCCCAATCAAAAATGGAACTGTGAAAAGTACGGAAAACAAGTCCCAAAGCCAGCTGCAATTGATGGTGGATTGGACTACGAGGGAAAGATCTGGTTCACAGTTCACATAAATCAATTCCAACCAGCTGGAGGGAATCGAAGATTCGCTCAAGCCACGGCGAGATATTTTGGAAACGTTGTTGAAGGTGAACTCGACGGAACCAAACTGACATCAAGCTGTAATGGAAAGAAAGTCAAGATTCAACGACGAGGAGTTGGAGAGAAGGATTACGTCTGGATGGTTTTGGAAATTCTTCCTACTCAAGCTTAACTGTTCTCTTTCATTTCTTTTTCTTTTTATAAAACTGTCATGTTGTATGCTACATTTATTTATTTATTTCTATAGCTTTGAAAAAAGTTAAAGCAATGATGTTTGACGACTTGATCTTGAAGATCAGCCTATTGGCTCTTCCATTGACCAATTTACGGACCGAGGTTCCTCAGACTTCTGGAATGGTGCATTCCGGTAGTTCGGCGGTCGAAGATATGTTTTTGGCTTCGATTGGAACTTCCATGAGAATACACTTGCAAAAAATATGGTCAGATGACGCATGAGGAGAAATTTTTTTATCCAAAATGTTTCATTCTATTCAATTCTCGAAGAAACTTTTTAGACTCTAAAAGATCAAACTACATGTAAATTTGCAAAACTGTTGAACGAGATCAATGGTAACTTTTGCCTGTATTCAAAAGATCAGAATATAAATATCTGCGATTAGTTTGCCTCATTCACGAAATGCATTCATTTCTCCCTGTCTTTTTCATCTTGGCTCTTCAAGAGTCCGCAAAATCTGCTCTCCGGGTCAGTTTTTCTTTAAATCGAAGCATCTAAAATTCTCTGATGTTCAGACATGCACACCTGCTGAAAATAATCTTCCCGGTGGTCTCTGGACAGAATGGGAGACCACTGCACCTTGCCCAACAGAGTGTGGATCTTGCTCAAAGCGTTTTTCAACCAGGACCTGTCTTTCTTCGAGTAT